ACTGTTCAATGCCTTAACCACGAAAGATTCCTACAGGGCACTGGATGTGGATTTTTCACTCATATCTGAGTGCTCTGTGATTTTGGTGAGCCAGAGCATACAGTTATCAACCACATTTTGGCCAAAACAGCGCAAAAACACCGATCAGAATATCTTCGTTGATTTTCATTATAATTATGAATTTCACTGAATTACGAACATGTCCCCCCTAGCTGCTCGTTGGGGCGGTAAGAGGGGGGACAGTCCCCCTAAAAGTGTTCGGTTCGGCGGGGTGGGGGGACAGGGGACGAACAGTAGGTCGGAAAAGTACAGTAGAGTCATAGCAAGTGTAGCTGCGGCAGTTATTGGGATGCGAGAAGTGTATACGTCGGAGGTTTACTGTCACGCTTTGTTGCTGTCACACATAGCGACAAAACGTGTCTGATAATGTCAAATTAGATGTATGTACAACGTGAGCAGCGTGCTACGACGAAGGGAATTTGTCTAAGTCGACGAGGACGCGTTGAACGAGAGTGCGGCGCGCGTCGGAGCGAGCCGCGAGCCGCGAGCCGCGATTCTGGTTGTGTCCAGAAAAGGCAGTTGGTTGGGAGAGCTCACCACCCTAAATATAGATATTTGAATTGCAGGTGTGCACCTTCTTGACACTATCGTCCCGTATGTAAGCTGATCTTAGTTGTTTACTCCATGTGGCACCTCTGGCCAAAAGCGTATCCCGCCGTAATCATTTGCTCGATTCTTTCATCTACAGCTTATCTACTGAACTTCCTTCAGGTTTGCTATTCAATTACATTCTCTAACTTTCTATCATCGTTCTTTTTTCCCATCACCTTTCGTTAGCCTCTCACTCATCTACGCCACATCTTTTCATCTTCAGCCGACCATGCTCATCCTTCCCGGATCCTCTGCCCTCTCCGCTGCTAAGCGTGATACCCTTCTTTTTCAACCTCCAACGCGCCAATCCGTCCATTCAATCCGTCGATGCCGTTTGGATTCACCTCGTCAGCGCTACATCCGTCTAAGCAGAGACTGGTCTCTCGAACCCTACCTCCCCTATCCGCCCCATCCTCGACCGTCTCCTCGCATACGGTGACTACCTCTAACTTCCAGGGACCGTCAAATCCTTAGAGAACCCTTCTGTAAATGTCATCTATGTCGTTCCCCGCCCTGGTTCAGTTTCGCCATGGTCGAGCAAGGCGACGGACATTGCTGCACAAAACGCACATCGACAGACTTGAGCGTGGCGTAGCCTACGTCGTTACTCTCAAGGTATCTCAATCTCTTACCTCCTCCGATCTCATCACCTTTGGTCCATTCATCCATGACCGAATGACCCAAACCGCCTTACTCTCCCTCCCCGCCGAAACCGACATCTTCCTTCACCGTTCACCCTCTCCTCTCGTCCACGCCTCTCTCTCCTCTTCCCCGAAAGAACGACTCTCTCAAGCAAACAACGAACTAGGGCTCGCTCTCGCACCCGACGAGATCGACTATCTCGTGAATGCGTACGGAACCATGTCTCGCGATCCTACCGACGCCGAATTATTCATGTTCGCAGAAGTCAACTCCGAACACTGTCGTCACAAAATATTCAATGCCTCCTGCACACTCGATTCCACTCCCCAACCCTCCTCCCTCTCCTCCATGATCCGCAACACCGAAAAGCTCTCGCCCAAAGGCACGATCTCCACCTACTCCGACAATGCCGCCGTCTTCGAAGGATACGTCGCTCCCCGTCTCACCACCTCATTCACCGCAGACGGCTTGAAGGTCTACGGAACCGTCGAGGAAGCGATGCCCATCCTCATCAAAGTAGAAACACACAACCACCCCACCGCCGTCTCTCCCTACCCCGGCGCCATAGGCCGTGGATCGCATCCAAAAGCCGGTCTCGCAGGCTTTTCAGTTTCGAATTTACTCATCCCAGGTTATGAGCAGCCTTGTGAAGAGGATTTTGGGAAACCGGGACATATTGCGAGTGTGTTCGAGATTATGAGGGATGCGCCGTTGGGGGGTGCGGCGTTTAATAATGAGTTTGGGAGGTCGGCTTTGGGGGTTATTTTAGGACGTTTTGTGAGAGGGTTGGTGGGGAGGCGGGAGAAGGAGAGGTTAGAGGGTATCATAAGCCGATTATGATTGCTGATGGGCTGGGCAACGTCCGTCCTCAATTTGCGCACAAAGACAAGATCTCGCCCAGAGCGAAGATTATCGTCCTTGGTGGACCTGGGATGTTGATCGGTCTAGGAGGTGGTGCTGCATCTTCTCGTGCGCTTGGAGGTGCGGGATCGGCAAAATTGGATTTCGCGTCGGTGCAGAGAGATAACGCGGAAATGCAGAGACGAGCGCAGATGGTCATCGACGCTTGCGTCGATCTTGGGGAGAAGAATCCGATTCAGTCGATCCACGGTGTTGGAGCGGGAGGTCTTTCCAATGCTCTTCCCGAGCTCGTGCATGATTCGGGGTTGGGGTCGAAGTTTGAGATTAGGGATGTTCCAGTGGCGGATGGAGGACTCAGTCCGATGGAGATTTGGTGCAACGAGAGTCAGGAGAGGTATGTGCTTGCTGTGAGCCCGGGTGAAGGGGGCGAGGACGTGTTTAGGGCGATTGCGGAGAGGGAGAGGACGTTATTTGGGGTTGTGGGTGAGGCGACAGAGGTGGAGGAATTGGTCGTAACGGATAGGCTGCCCGGTCAGGATGTCATCAGCCTCAAGATGTCGACGTTGTTCGGTAAACCACCCCGTATGACTCGAACCGACGTTACTCACAAACTCAAGACCATCCCCTTCGACACCTCCCTCTCCAAATACATCCCAACCTCGTCGAACGTCGATTTTACCGCTCGACTCAAAGAAGCAGCCCACCGCGTCCTCCGCCTCCCCTCCGTCGCCTCCAAGTCCTTCCTTATCACAATCGGTGACCGTATCATCACCGGCCTCGTCACCCGCGACCAAATGGTACGACCCTACCAAACCCCCATCTCCGACGTCGCTGTCACCCGTTCCTCCTACTCTTTCACCCTTCCCTACGGCGAAGCCATGGTCATGGGCGAACGTACGCCCCTTGCACTTCTGTCTCCGGCAGCGAGCGCACGTATCGCTGTATGTGAGAGTTTGACGAATTTGGCGGCGTCGTATGTTGGAAGTGGAGAGTTGGGGAGGGTGAAGTTGAGTGCGAATTGGATGTGTGCAGCGGGGTGAAGGGTGAGGGAGTCGGGTTATATGAAGCTGTGAAGGCTGTCGGTGAGGAGTTGTGTCCTGCGCTTGGGGTTGGGATACCGGTCGGGAAGGATTTGATGTCGATGTCTATGCGTTGGAAGGACGAGAAGGATAAAGTGGAGAAGGATGTGACGGTGCCGTTGTCGTTGATCGTTACTGCGTTTGCGAGAGTTAAGGATGTGAGGAAGACCTGGACGCCGGAATTGAAGACGGACGAGGAAGAAACGGTGTTAGTATTTTTCGACTTGGCGGGTGGGAAGACCAGGTTGGGAGGATCGGCGTTGACGCAGGTGTTTAGGGAGATTGGGACAGAGGCACCGGATGTGGAGGATCCAAAGGTGGTGAAGGCGTTCTTTGAGGGGACGCAGAGGGTTAGGGAGACGAATCCGGGATTGGTACTCGCGTACCACGATCGTTCGGATGGAGGATTGTTCACTACGTTGGTGGAGATGGCGTTTGCGGGAAGAGTTGGTCTGAGGATCAATTTGGATGCGTTGGGAACGTCGGGGAGGGATCCCGTGGCGGCGTTGTTCAATGAGGAGTTGGGAGCGGTCGTGCAGGTCGCGAAATCGAACGTTCAACATCTCCTCGCTGCGTTCTCTCGAGAAGGATTTCCTTCCACCTCCGTTCATGTTATCGGAAGTATCAACCCACCCTCCGACCAATCCATCGATATCATCCACAGCGGTTCCACCATCTTCTCTTCACTCGCTCTGCCCTTCAAGAAATCTGGGCATCCACGTCCTACAAGATGCAATCTCTCCGCGACGATCCGACCAGCGCCACAGAAGAATTCAGCCTCATCTCTTCCCCTCAGCGACGCTCTCCAAAATCTCATACGACCTCAAGTTCAAATACGATCCTTCGCTTTCGAGGCCGTTGGCGCATCGTCCGAAGGTCGCGATATTGAGGGAACAGGGCGTGAATGGACATCAGGAAATGGCTTGGGCGTTCCACGCGGCAGGATTCGACGCTATCGACGTACACATGTCCGACATGTTCCCTTCTGTCACTTCTTCTAGGGAACCTCTCAGTCTTCAAGGATTCGCGGGTATCGCAGCGTGCGGAGGGTTTTTGTACGGTGATGTTCTCGGTGCAGGTAAGGGCCGGGCGAACTCCGTTCTGTTACACGAAGGCGCTAGGAAGGAGTTTAAAGATTTCTTCGAGAGGAATGATACGTTCGCTCTAGGAGTATGTAACGGATGTCAATTCTTCAGTGAGTTGAAGGAGTTGATCGGGAACGGTGCTGGCGAGGACGACAGTGAGAGTGGGGCAGGCTGGCCAGAATTCAAGGAGACCAAAAGCGGGAGGTTCGAAGCGAGAGTAATAATGGTCCAAATCACCGACACCGCCGTCACTCGCTCCTCGCCCTTCCTCCACGGCATGGTTGGGTCCCGTATCCCCGTCGCCGTCGTCCACAGTGAAGGTCGCGCAGTATACACCGGCGGTTCGTCCACCCTCCAACGCTCCGACTCCCTTGGCCTCATTGCTCTAAAATACGTCGACGGAGACGGGAACGTAACTCAGACGTATCCTTTGAACCCGAATGGAAGCGATGGTGCGGTTGCGGGCGTGCAGACGAGGGATGGGAGGGTGTTGGCGCTGATGCCGCATCCAGAGAGGGTGATTGCGGCGGCTAGTAATTCATAGACGCCGAGGAGTATGGAGAGCGAGTGGGAGGATACCGGGCCTTGGTTTAGGTTGTTTCAGAATGCGAGGAGGTGGTGTAATTAGACGTTTGAGGTGAGCTGTCTCAGAGAGGCAGGCTATATGCGTTTAGCGTGACTGAATAATTGTTCGTTCTGTTCGATAGGAATGCATAGAGCCGAAGTATAAAGCCTGGATGTACTCTTAATCCCATTTTGTTGTTTGTTGTATGTACCCTTACCCTGGCGCGTTGCTCTGCGTACACTCTGAAAATGTCCGATTTTCATCATGCTATAGTGCCTTATCTACGTTCGATAACACATCTCCAGCATCTCATTTCCTGGTTGCTTTGAACCGTCGATCCCTACATTTGTGTACTATTCGACTTGAGCTCTTCGACGCGTATGCTAACCTCACTTACGCCACCATCTTCTACTTCGACATCGAGCTCACCAATGGCCCGATCGGATGGAATGGCCTCTATCGGAGCCCCGACATTCCCAAGATATCGATTCGCCGCAAACTGGAGTTCCGGAATTGAGGTTTCTCCTAGGCCCGATGGCGCCCGCTCGCTACTGAATTCTCTGAGGTTGAGCACCATGTTGTTTACGGCTACAATCTGCAAGCTGTATGCACGCCCACGGTGATGACACATTGCGAATGAGAAGCGGGTATGGTATTGAGAAGGGAAGTGAGAGCGATGGTACTGACGTCTGGAAGATGACGGTCACAGCGTTGAAAATGATCCATGACGTTGAACCGCCCGAGGTATTTCTTCCCGAAAATGCTACCTATTGATGAATGAAAAGATTTCAATAAGTTGTTTCGCGTGCATATATCGGGGGATGCGGCAAAGGGCATACAATCGTTGGTATCCCAGTGAGAGTGTTATAGCATAGGATCGACCTGTGAAATATGGCTCGTTAATGGTAAATATCTCCAGACGGATAGTCATGGACATGACCCACGCAAAGCACCAGATTCCTGACAGCGGGGTTATGTCACATAGATCACATATACAATTACTAGAGGTCCAAAGACAGGCACGTACCATCACGCTGCATAACATGAACGATACTCCTTCGTCCTACCATGCGCATCTCTCTCCCAAGGCCACCGATCTTGAGTAGCAGTAATAGAAGCATGAAAGCCTCTAGGACGATCGGTATGACAGTGCCGAGAAGGATGACTGAGCGACAAGAGTCAACAGCTTATCATCCACAAACATGTATTTAGTGCGCCCATCGTAGGATACATGACTCACATATATCTGCATGTTTCTGTGTATCCGGTAGCTCAAAGCAGCCAGATACGGACGCTAATATTGTCCCGGCAGTCGATTCTGTATGCCACCTGGGTATTTGCTGGGATTGTCACTGGAATTATTAGTCTCATGAAAGCCAGCAAGGAAGAAAAAGCGAATACGAACGTAGACAAGGCCGGCTACCATGGACAGAAGCAAACTGGTTCCGAATAACAGAATGCCCTTGTGTTGGAGGTATATGGAATACACTCTAAGAAACAGTATGACTACCAGCTCAAATATGTCAGTCGTTGGGTCACGGAGAGTATAGGATGAAGAGAACAGACGACTCGTGAGAACATTGTTCAGGACATAGAGAAGCTCTTCCATGATCCCGATTGTGCTACAGCTAGTGCCACAGTCGCGGTCGCTTAGCTTCATCATAAAGACGCGAACATTCAGACATGAGTTCACTCACGACTTGAAAGTCAAGCCAATGGGGCATATTTGTAGCATTTCAATATCGACCCTCGCCCGCGAACTTTGGCGGGGGCTACAACGTTGAAAAATGCTACAAATATGCCCTAATAGGTAGTGAGAAGATGATTTCCATGATCTGGTACGCGAGGAAACCATATCGATTGACGATGAAAAGCACGGATAGTCCTGTCGTCCTTCTTGACCAAATGACGCGCCATTCGGAAGGCAGAGTGTGGGCATAATGGAGAAAATAGATGGCTTCTCTACTAGATAAGCAATGTTCAATTGACGATTGCTCACATCGGACAACGCACTGGATGCAGAGAGGACCGTATAGTTCGTGACTAGCCTAGTGGTCGTCGTATGTTCAATTAGTCCGTGATCAATACGGATGCCTAGGAGCTTACCATTGCGTCTGGAGCGAAGTGATATCTATGGATTCCGACATGGCTAATACGATACACCAAGTGATGGTGGAATTTGGATGGAATCAACCAGCTTGAACGTAGACATACCTGTTTATATGCGACCCAGGCCGTCAGTCCACCCCATTGAGTAAGGTTATGACTATGCTATTCCAATGAAACGATGTTCGTAGCAGTTTAACTGCCAAGTTGTGTACAGGTTCCGTACCACTCCCGCAGTATCAACTGCCTCAATCGATGGCTTGTCACGCCTCTCTGGGAAATATTAAGCATAGCCTTAGGACTGACAGATATTCTCGAGCGCTCATCATGGTCGTCACCTGAGAGTGGTTGTTTGTACAAATACCGCAGCAACGCAGGAGCTAGCGTTTGATGAGCGCAGAAACATACGGAACTAAGTTCAGCATGAAGGTTGCGGTCAATTGTGCCACATGAAGGGGCGACGGATGATTCAATTCTAAGAAGCGCAGTGATGGCGTATCGCGGTCCCCCGAAGATGGATGGCAGAAAAACCATCATTTATAAAGTGAAGCAATCCTCTTGAGAATAGCAAGCAGCCGACGATAAAGAGATACGAGGTAAGAACGTTAAGATGCTGCAATGGCCTCAGCTCAGTATGCTCGCGGAACTCTGAGTAACTGACCAAAGATGTGCATCCATGATTCACGCAAAATATCGTCTAGATTCGTATCCCGTTTCCATATCCCAGCTTTCGGATGTCCGATCTTTGTGGAGGAGCAGACTTCCTCCAGTGGACTCGCAGGGCGCGGCGAAAAATAAACAGGACGAGTCGCACTCCCTCGTTCTGTTATTTTCAGCAGCGATTCTTCACCGTTCCCAACACCCTCGTCGATATCCCTTCCAAGTCCTTCAAAAAGCGAACAAAGAGGGGGATAGAAGGATGGATTCTCGTCTAGATCAGAACTTAGACGCAGTTACGAAAGCTGGGACGATTTGTAGTCGATCAAAAGTCAAATATACCCGATGAAGCCCAAAGAAAGTGTTTCGGCGAGACCATGATGAATCATGTAGACCGTGCATTCACTAGGTGCAGAAACACACGAGCTCCTCGACAGTACGACAACGCGAAGCGAAGAGCCTGGTGTCCAGTGGCATGTAATCTCGTCAGAATTAGATTCAGAGAGCAGAAAGAAACGCATCTGAAGCCTATTTGCCCATTTATTCATTCTCTTCTTCGAGCGAGAATGAAATACGGAGTATCCGTTCCGGTTCGCTATCGACGGTTATTCCTGTCGACGAACAATCTATGCCTAATAATCCTATGGACGAATGTTTTGGCTTGTGAGGTATGTGTTGGTTCTGGGCTACGATAGAGTGCAGATAGAATCGACGAGGTTGGAAGAATATACAGGACAGACACCACAGGCAAAAATCAGACGGCAGTCGAACATCATAAGCACGGATTTCTTCTGTTGTCGTGGTTAGGAAACAAAGGGACTGAAGGGGACTGATCGTTCAATTCGACAAGGTGGCGCGAACGCTGACGTCAGACGACACATCTCACGAACGGTGTGGCACGAGTGCTTTCACAAAACTTCGGTCAATTATGGTAACAAAACACCAGCCAAAAGCTATAGACAAAAAGCATTAAAAGAAGTTATTAATGTACTACGTGTTGGTACAATATGGTACAAAAGCAGCATCCGAATAGCGATGTACGGCATCCAAGAAAAGCAAAAACCTCTGAGTAACCGCAAAACCATCTCAAAATCACTCCAAACACGAATCTCTCTTCACATTCCCCTCATCCCACCACCTGCACCTCCATACGCACTCCCACTTGACCCTTGACCTTGACCGCTAGCCCCGCTCACTCCGTCTCCATATCCAGTTCGAAATTGATGATTTTAGTTATGCATGTGCATCTGCTCTTGCGGACTGAGCATCGGAAGGCCAGGTACGATTTGTGGTGCCGGAGCGGAACCTACGTGGTCTGAGTTCGAAGGCGACGGGAGGGAGTTGGGGAGCGCGAAGAAGTCGAGGCCGCCGGCGCTGGGCCAGGCTGAGTATGACATCGTCAATGTCGTTTGCTGGCACACATAAGTGGAGGCACATCGGGGGACAGACGGACGCAGATAAGAATTAGAGTACGTACAGGCTGATTGTCGTTGCTGGTATCCATCGGCATGAACGACGAGAAAAATTCGTCCAAGAAGTTTGAAGTGGCGGGGAGCGGAACGCCCTGCTCGAGTGGGAGCTGCTGCTGCTGGTATACGCTCGGTCCCGTTGGGACAGAGCCGTAGGAGGTCACATCCGAACTTGTCGAACGCATTCTACTCGTAGACGATGTACATACCTAGATATGGGATGGATTCCGGAGCATGCATGTGAGGCATTGCTGTAGCCGAAGGTGGCTATTCAACCGTAGAATGCACTGGATGTGAAGGTGCGTGCGACAGACCAGGTACAGGTGCACGGGACGAGCCAGCTACAGGTGCGTGCGATGGGACAGGGCCCGAAGGCGGAGGCTGCAACCGAATCTCATCTCCGTCCGGCTGCTGCTGCTGCTGCAACGCATTCGCACTCTCCAACATCTGCATCAACGCCCCGAACATCTTCGGCGTCCCCGGAATCCTTGACCTAATTCCATGCGCCAAAATGGGCAACGTCGTCTCCAGCCTCTCCCTCGCTTTCTCCGCCCTCCGTCCACCCCATCTCTCACTGCTTCTCCTATTCCGACTCGTGCTACGGTTCGCTGAATCACCATCCACGCCACCCATACCCTCACCTCCGACGACACTCTGGCTCTGACTCGCGCTGATAACGTCGCCCATTATCAATCGTGGCGGAGCATAACGCGGCGTAGACGAAGAGGTAGGTAGATCGAGCGACGGGGAACGAGTTCTTGAATAGGCGAAGGCAGGCCGCGATGTCTTGTGCGGGCTTGCGGCATGCGGTAGCGGCGTAGGGGACGGCGAGGGATCCGGTTTGAGCGAAGGGGCGATAAAGGAGAATCCAAATTGTGTGGACCAAAAGACTGAGATAAGACAATCGTTGTCAATAAGAGGTTACCTCCGAGTGAAACAGTGGTTAGAGACGAAGTGAAAAAGCATACTTGAACTGAATAACGTGGGCTGGTGGCGAAACCGGTGGTAGATTATCTGCGTCCAGGAGGATTTGGACGGGGACTTGAGCTTGCCACGCTATCATACGATCTCGCAGGCTGAGGACAAAGTCACGAGCTTGGAGCAGGCGGGACTCCTTGATGGAATAGACATGTTCGAGTACTTCGTCAAGGAACTACAACATCGGACAAGTTCATCAACAACTGGACGGTCATGAACGACGAAGTTAGATAGGGAAATTACCTGGTAGAGTGAGCACGAACTGAATCGAAATTAGTAAGGGAATACATGTCGCGAGAATGAGACGGAACGTACTATCGGAAACAAGTCATCTCGAAAGACGGCTGAGCGCCAGAGTAAGGCATCGTTGTGAATTCGGTTGATTGAACCGGCGAGTAGAACGGTTTCCAGAAGGTGGCGCCATCATCAACAGCTGCTCATTTCATAGGGAAAAGGATAACCAGTCGTTAGTCGATAAGAATATGAAGAATATGAAGAAGGCGTACAAGGAAGTGGTGGTTTGTCTTTTGGCCTCATAGTAGGCTTTTTGGCGAGGGATAGCGATAGAGTCCTGCAGCAAAGACAAAACCGTAGCAACTCAGCGTCGGATAGACAGACAGAAAATTAGGCGAACGTGGACTCACTTGTCCCATGTGTAAGCGGCCCAATACGTGCATAGCTCCGCCGTCCGCAACTGTTCGGATTGGTCTTCGGAACTGTGATTTGGACGCGCCCAGCCAAGATCTATCGGGGCAAATAATTCATCAAATAAGAGTGGCGAACGAAAGGCGCTCGTGAACAGATGCTTACCTTCGATCATACGAAACGCGTAGCCGGCCATGACCCATGCCTGTGAGTACAGGCCTTCCGCCGCATTGTGGCCCGATATCAAGAGCAAATCTGTTGAAAACCGACATCTAAGCCCGAAGAAGGAAACCCTGGACACAGAAGACTGACCTTGTACGGTCGTAATCGCACTTGGCCTGCTGAGTTCGACCGCCAGGAGTAAATGGGCTCTCGCTTGTACGCAACGTTACCGCCATCAGTTTACAGTCGAAAACGACAGAAGTACGAGAAGATACGCACAGCAAATTCATGTAACCGATCCCTCATCTCTGGTATGTGTCTCGACGCTTGGGAGCAGATGCACCACAACAGGAAGTCGTTGCAAAATGTGGGGTCGCTCGAATGGAGACTACCTAGCCACGGGATTTGGTGAATACATCCATAAATCGAGTTATTCGGATGATGCGATATACGTACTTTCGAAGGCAGGCCGGCATATAACCTCGTAACGAGGATTCTGCCAGCTAAAGAAGCCGTATACCCAGTCAGAATGAGCTCACGGGAGAAACGAATGAATATACGTACCAGAGATAGCTGTCCATCATCATTTGACTCTCCTGCAGCGTAGGTGTGCGGAATTCGGAGAAGCTGTTGGCCACGACGGCGAGTAATCGGTTGAGCGCGTCCTGGAGCAAGGCAGCCCTCGTCTGCAGCTCGGTCAAAGACACCAATGATGGTCGAAGTCTTAGTAGACTCTGCGCTAAGCGATGAAGCGAGCTATCCATTAATACGACTAGTCGAGCCGATATCCTGACGAGAAGAAGCCAAAGTATAGAAAGGTACGCACCTCGGGCACATCATCGACCTCTTCCAACTTCTCCTGTTCGACTTCCTCCTTCTTTACAATCTTCCTTCGCGTCTTCGTCGACACAACCGGCTTGCTTAGCTCTCCTTCATCCCGTTGCTTCGTCCACTCCATAAGCATCCGCTCTCGGTCATCGTCCCCGGCGCTCGCAAGTTGCTCGATGAAAGCGTGAGAGGCGTCGGCGGCAGCGCTGACACTTTCGAGCCTAGAAGCTTCGCTAGACCTATAGAAACAAGTCGATTTGAACAACAAAACGGAAAGCAAACCGTTGGTTAGGGACCGGAAGCGCCGGCGACATCGAGAAACTACGCACCTTGGGAATACCCATTGTATTCCAGCCTGTGGGCAAAACTTGCACAAGCTCTCCCCATTCTCCTCCCTCCCATCACATCTTCTCTTCCTTCTTCTGCAAACCTCACACGACGCCGCGTACCTCCTCTTACCAATCCGCGAATCTACATTCTTTGGCCCAGTTACTGTGGCCGTGTCTTCGGCGTGTTTCGATGTTGAATGCGAGCCAGATCCCGAAGCTGATACGTTCGCAGACGGCGAGTGCGAAATGTCATCTTGTTGGTGAGCCTGTGGGGATTGTGAAGCAGTACCAAAGTTCGAATAAGTGTTAGATCCGAATTCAAAGCGCGGAGACGACTGTTGTGGCTCGAGTTCAGGGGCGAAACAAAGTAGACAAGGACAAAGCATACGTATGTATAAGTCTGGGAGGCCGTGGGAAAAGTCCGAAGACGAGGTCGTCCGGGCTTAAGGCATGCCCCGGACCTTTCATCGTCGTCATCCCTCGACTCTGTCTCTGTATACTCCTGCACCGGCTGTTTCTTCCTCTGCGCTTCAAAGCCAAACTTGCAATCTCACTTCTCCTCACTTCTACATCCTCGACACCGAGAGGATTGGTTGGGTTTCACTCAGGTGCGTCTCTTTATCCACTCGTCCGCTGATACAGCTCACGTTTGCCACCATAATTCTCAGTGTAAATCGTTTTCTATCGAAACTCCTTACAATATGAGCGACCAACAGCTTATAGGCGACCCAATGCCTCTCTATAAATACCGCTTCACGCACACCAACCGTACAGTCGTTAGCGCCTTCGAGCTGTGCTGTTCTGGTCGACGCCAATTAGACGTCATGGTGTTATCATGCGTGAAAATTGCTTGATGTCGACAGAAACAGAGCGAACCTGAGGAACTCCGGTAGCACGCTCCTCTCTTTCATGAGCACGTCGGTGTCGCTGTGAAATTTGATGGGCAGAAAGCTCTGGCGGAGTGTCTAAGAACCGGGTGGCATCAGTATGATTGGTTTTCACTAAAGGAAAGTGCATACCATCGGATTGACGCAGAAAGTTTTCATTAGTGAGGTGGGGTTCTCGATGTGGAAGCATACGGTCATACGCTGTCTCAGTATCTCAAGACAATTGGCGCTGCCGAGTTCGAAAAAACTTTGCGTCGTGTTGAACATGGATACGCGAGCTCGAGGCGGCGGAGCTCCTCTTACTCGGCCACCCTAGAGGCCATCTCATCACTGGATATGACCTCGAAGCTCCCGTTCGCGCTCATTCCCCTATCACTCTAGATGACGAAGACATCGGCGTCGACGAGGATGACGATACCCGCTCCCAAGCTTCTCAAGATATTGTTAGCGATTCGCCGAACACATCTTGCAGACGCCCACGGCGAAACCCTGCGACTCGACGTGAGCCTCGTCGTAAAGTTGCTCGTGATGCTGTCGTTCGTTGGCGTGCGCAGGCATTGTACAGACGGTACGAGAACGCACCTCGGGGCTTGGAGGGTCTCATGCCCGACGCTGTTGTTACATTCTTCGCGGCCAACTCGTATAATCTAGTGCGGTATGAACGTGTGCTTGGAGGGTCGAAGAGGCGCCGAGAGCGCCAAGGTGGTGCGGGGGACCTGTGGCTATTAGGTCGCGGTGGGTCTAGGCAGGAATAAAGGCCATGCCTTGATCTGTTGTGAGACGGGTGAAGGGTGCGTGGAAGCTGCAGGGGAGTAGATCGCGCCAGTCTGCGAGAAGAGAAACAATAGGACGTGAATGACTGAGGCTGTGGCACGAGAAATGATGTGGTGGGATCGCTTACGGAGTTGTTGGGAGCGACGAGGACGAGGGAGGTGGCTTTTGTCTTTGGGGTGATGAGCGGAGTGCAGCATTCGAGGAAGAGGACGAAGGCGGCTTCGGGGTAGGTTTGGCAGAGGATAGGCTTCACTCCGAGCATAGTCAGCGTCGTCTAAGCACGATGTCAGTATTCAATTACCCCAACCGACAAGCAGCCTGAGAGTTGAACCTACTGATGACTGAAATACCTGCAAGACCGAGCACTCAGCCTAGCATACGTTTTTGAGAAGACATGATTACTCGCCAAGACACAGACATGATAACCCTAGATGGCTCATCGCACGGATCGGACAACGTCAACACCGCGGCCGTCAATCATCCGTAGCAGCCACTTATGTATCTTGCCCATAAACGACCTTCATATTCTCCGCCCAACGCGCCAGTAATGCCGCCGTACTTCGTGATGATAAGATCGGCGGAGATCTTGGAGAGGGAGGCGCAGAGTTCAGGCGGTGGGAGGGCGCCGAGAGTGCATGGAGAGGTCGAGAAGGCGTTCAAGGGACTGGGGGGGGTAAAATTTGGCCCAGATGTTGGCTTGAGAGATGCTGAGATTGGGGTGGCGTTAGCGTGACTCGGATCTGGTAGTATGTTGCGAGGACTCACTCTGAACTCACGGTGGCGTGGTACTGTTCACAGTGTTCTTGGATATCATCCATAGTGCTAGTACTGGAGCGCGAGACGGTCCTGATGATACGAGGGGCGGAGGGGAACGTTGTAGGATTGCCAGAAACGAGACGGCTAGCGTTCGGTCAGCCTAGTAAGCGCCATCGCAGATGCCATAGTTCAGAAAGGCGCATGAGGAACGACAAAGGAACCATGATCATGGACCATACCAGCTAGGATGTAAGAGTGCGTGCTCTCGTGCGCCGTGGCTCAGCCAGTCGGGATTTGCGGAAAGAGGGGCTTCGGAAGTTGCAGAGAGTGAGAAGAACATATTGTGGCAAAAAGGCGCGCCCCGCGCTCTGTTTCGCACGGGTAGCGGAGTTTCGATTCACAACTCCGCGCTTGTTTCAAGTCACCTCCGCTCCTCCACCATTTCTCCCGTCTCCCGTTGCACCACAGAGACGGGGCTTGTGTGAGGGGCGACCTCAAGGTGAGCTCGTTTTCTCCTCCGTTTCCCCCCCTTTTTTTTTTGGTTTCTATTTCGTGGAAGACCCAGGAGCACTCCCTCGCGCTCTTGCTAATGCGCTGGGTAGACGTTCGGCCCCCTTAGCTTCGCGAGGGTCCATCCTGGGTCGCGTTTTTACGCGTTTTTTTCTGTTGTGTTGTCATCCTGCCCATTCTACCTACTATATCCCGTCCTTTTTCAATTTTATGCGTATTAATGCTTGTTTATTTGCATCTAGTGTTGGCATATCGCGTTCACAGATGGACCGGCTCGTAAGCATCACCGTTATTTCGGTCTTCTCCTGCTGATTTTCTTTGTCGTGCACTGGTAGGCCCACGCTCTACGCGTTTTTACACCGTATATTTTCCCGGACGGTCTCGATGGATTAGTCAACGTTAGTGACGGTTTCAATCTCCATCGAGCACTGCGGCGAGCAGCCGCCGTCGCTGACTTCACCGAAGACAACGACGAATGCACTGATATACCCGTTGAATTCGAAGATGAAGATTACGACCCTTTGGCCTACCCCGTCTCTTCTCCAGAGCCATACACATCCCCATCCCCATTATCCTCCGCACCGACCTCGCCTTCGACACAACCCCCGGCGCCACACATCTCTGCGCCACCTGAACCACCCATCTCCGCGTCACCTCTGCCGACGGAGCACTCCGATTCACTATTCACGGACCTCACATCATCTCGACCTCTGGCAGACCCTGTTGCTCCGTCCTCGACACCATGGGTCGCAACGAGAATCGCGGCCGTTACATCCGCCGTCAGCAGCGTCGTTTCCTTCTGCCGAGGCCCTGCCGAGGCTGTCCCTCCTCCACCAGCTCTGTCTACTTCCCCTCCTCCGCCAGCGTCGCCTACTTCCCATCTGCCCGCGCCGGCTAACTCCCCTGCACCACCTGGATCCTGTGCGCCCCATCGCCCACGTAATCACCGTAAGGCCAAGGCGCGGCAACGCGACCGCGACAAATCCTACGGACCGATTGAAGAAGCAATGAGCAATCCTTTAACTCGCGGCCCTCTTACCTTTCCCGAACGGCTCGTTGAGAAGTACAGCAAGATCAACATCGCCGATACTCTCCGCATGAAGTGGTTCTCTGCTTCCGGCCTCGCACACGCGCTTGGCGCCTGGATTGGTGTTCGGAGGTTCAAGTCTTCGGATGTTGATGGATGGACTGCAGAGAAGTTAGTGCAAGAGTGTGGGTTCACTCTGATTCAGTGGGACGGGTAGTACGTCACATCCGCACTTGCTTTTCTCCTCTCCAGGTTACTGACGGGTGTTGGGGTAGCTCGAGTTTTGCGTTAGTAGATAAGCTGGGCCACATAATAGCTCGCTGTATTGGATTTCCTAAGGACTCTCGGTGGGAGCAGATATGTCGAGGGGCATGTGAGGCTATGGATCGCGCGCGCGCAGCCATGGCAAGCCCGCAGCGCGATCCAAATGGTCGTCGAGGTTTTTTCTGGACTCTTTTCACCGGTTTCTCCATGGGTGGTGGTCAGAAAGTACGACACTATTCCTGATGTTTTTCAGACTTACTGACTCACTGCCGCTGCCACAGTATCCAATGCCCATGGATATGAAATCCAAAGCAAACAAGAAGGCTGCTGACGAACTTTGTAAGGATCCGAACATCAGGAAGATCGCCCATCATGGAAGCAGTAAGTCTCCGCTTTCCCGTCCATTCTTGTAGAATTGCTCACCTTTAAGTCATCAGCCACGTATGCCTTCACTTCGCCAAAGGCCTTCAGCTTTCTCGATAGCTGTCTTCTCCTTATCGAGTCCATGGCCGTACTGCTCTGTCTCCCCGCGCTCATCCGCCCTTTCCCTTTCAGCATCTTCCCCGCGGTAACATTCAATCTCGGCTCGAATGTTACCACAAAGCTCCATCGCGATTTCAACAACATCATCTTTGGCATGTGCGCTATCCACGCGCTTGGACGTTACGACCACACAAAAGGGGGTCACCTCATCCTTTGGGATTGGAAGATCGTTATCGAGTTCCCTCCCGGTACAACCATACTCATTCCTTCCGCCGCTGTTGCACACGGGAATACACCCCTCCACGATCCCAAGAACGAAGAGCGGAAATCTTTCACTCAGTATGTTCCCGGTGGGCTTGTTCGATGGTTCTCGTATGGGTACCGTACGGAGAAGGAGATCAAGGAGCAGAATCCAGCTGAGTGGCTAAGGATTAAGGCTGAGGCAGATGCGCGTTGGGAAACAGCCTGTGGGATGTTCTCCAAGGTTTCGGAACTACATATTGACATTATTTCTCATCTTACTATACAACGTAAAGAAACCCAGGATGCGGGTGTGGGCTATGCGGCCGAAGCAATAGACATCGAGTAGATAGCGTCATACACTACCATTAATTGTTTTTACCTTAAATTGTTTTTACCTTATACTCTGTAATGTTAATGATCGCCGTTCGCAGACCTGGGAGTGACTGGCTTGTGTAAACAATACCGGGAGAATGCTGACTAGAATACATGTGTCTTGTATCCCAAAGCCCCACAGGCGAGTGGCCTTTACGATCTTTATGGAGATTTCGGTATCCGTAGGGAGCGTAGGGAGATCTGGCGTGGGTATTTAGCATATAACACTGCCTATGGAAGCACTCTTCCTCCAGGTGAACTTGTTCAATTGGTCAGACACCGTTTGACCCTCTTACTGTAAGATTCTCCTAACTTAGGTTTGGCGAAGCAGTCTAGAGTGAGATAAGATAAGATCCCCACACAGCTTGTGATGTTCTCCAAGCCAGCTTTGTCCTATGGTGAGTTATGGTTTTTCTTTGGTAGAATCCATCTCCTCTTCTCATGGTCGGATGCATATACATGGCCGCTCTCCTCGCTCACGAGGCTATGATCAAACTTTCGCAATTAAGACCCGGTGGACGTCTCATCGTCTCCTCTTTGCTGCCAAACTCGCCTGCATTATGCTCGACAACATAGTGAAGCTTGATGGTATGAGAGATAAATCAGAACGAAATTTGAGAGTCTTCTTGAAGTGCGCACCGAACCGAATATCAAGTTTTTTTTTACATCGGGAAATCGACCCCGCGCTAATGCCAGCTAATTGCACGGCTAATCCCACGCGGCGCGGCTATCGGCGACCGGGTTGTTGGTACCGGCGAGTTAGCACAGATTAGCACAAATTAGCCCGGGGTTAGCCCTGGAAAGAGCATACCGAATTATTCAGGGCATTTCTATATTGACAGTATGTAGAGCTCGACCGTAGGGTTGTCAACAATGTAGTTTGCATGCAGTATAATACATTACTATGGCCGCAGTGTCTCTGGCTCTTTGTGAGCACCGCCGAGAGCACCCCAAGCAATGTACTTAACACTGTATGCAAAGCCCATCCTCTATTCATTTCTCAAATACTATATGGCTTGGCATATATACTCCTCCCCCATACCTCTTGAAAGTTTTCGAAAGCGGGGGCAGACGTGAACGACAAGTGAACCTTGGGTGGCACACGCTTCGCAGTCTATTTGGCTTTGTTTGTTCACAGTTGACGACGCGTCGCCCTCTGTCGCCCTGCGTTGCCGCACCTTCTTTCCTCCTTCCTCTCACCTACGACGCTGGGAGTGCGCTCTCAGCCATTAGCCGTAGCACTCTCATCTGTCACTCTCACTGATGGTGTGTACTCTAACTTGGTCCCAAGGGGAGCTGACAAATATAATGAATAACCGGGACCTGGTTAGTTAGTTAGGCCCTCGGGCCTCTTAAAAAATTTTTGGACCCCACCCAGAAAATCGCCGAGAATGGCCAAAATAATACATTGGGCTGGGAGCGATGTAGGTATCATGTGCTGATGCTAAGTGGATTATTATAGAACCATTTTGTGGGCAAAATGTTGATGTCTGGGTCAAAACTAGAGTGAAATAATTAAGAGCTTTGCCGTTGGACAGTCTTACGCAAAGCTCAGACTGGTAAATTGAGTGTGATTGAGCAGCCATGCATCATGGAAATATAGAAGCATAAGGTTTGGGCTCAGAGGCTAGGGCAGGGGAAGATCGACGTCAACGGCGAACATAACCTAGCCTAGGCTAGGGTAGGGGAAGATCGACGTCAACGGCGAACATAACCTAGCCTAGGCTAGGGTAGGGGAAGATCGACGTCAACGGCGAACATAACCTAGCCTAATTCAAGTGCAGATTGAATGATAGACTGATTATAAATCACTTATACTTCATTCTCCAAAAGAAATAAAGAGCGGAGATTCTTCTGATTGGCTCAGAAATATTATTTAAATCATTTAAATATTAATTACAGTTAGTTAGTTCACCCCTCGCCTCCCTTAAAAAAAAATCGACTCCCGGTGTTTCATTCAAGATCTCAGCTCCCCTTGCTTGGTCCTCCGTATTTCCCTCCTCATGGTGATAGCTGTTTGCATGGCTTTTACGGCGCCAGCGCTGCGAACCTTCCCTGGCCATCGTTCAGCGCATGTCGGGTAGACTATAGGTGCAACTAGGTGCGTGGTCTTCCTTTTCTCTTTCACTGACTTGGTAAATACATGACCCTGTTTCTCATCACTGACAATGTCGAAGACATCAAGCTTATAACCTTATGCTAGCTGTACGCGATCGCCCTCATCAGGGGCCGCTCAGATTATATAAGAGGTACGTACTTGCATTGTTTGCCTTGCCTGTTCTGGATCTCTAATGTTTGCAGGTCGCATGACCATGTGCATGGAGCACATGTAGACGTGATGTAGTGCAAGTTGTTCACGTCATGAACAATGGATAGCGTGATTCAATCGCGGTGAATCGTTGGTGTACGAGGTGAGTTGTATCATGCATAAACTCTTGTTTTTTCTTCTTCATAACTGTTGAGTGTGGTGTGCCGCAGATCCCACCTTTGCTGCATGTATATACTTTTGTTCCCTCATCTCCAGCAGCTCACTAGTACTTTTGCGACGTTTTTGGTCAGTCTTGTCATGACCGTCCTGACATGGCCTATTTGTTTTCCTTCATTTTTCTCTATTTTCCTTCCTCTATCGCTCGTGACCCGGTTCCCTCTCCTCTTTCCTCTCTGTTGACTCGTTTCCTACGGATGTCCGGACTATATTTACAGACGCTTACGCGTACACCCATGCCTCTCCACTCTTCCGGTTTTCACTCTATTCTTGTACGATTACTCATCCTGCTTACCCTGCGCTGACGCGTCCTCTCCTTGGCTTACTGATCCCTTTCCCTTGCTTACTGATACTTTGTTCCCACGCTTACGCGTCTCCTTTCCCACGCTTACGCGTCCCTTCCCCTTCTACATATATATACTTTGGGTACTTCCACCTTCACTTTCCCTTAACCTGATCCTCCTCTTAGTCACCCGGTACAAAGACACTTGTCTACCAGCCCACTGTTGCACTTGGTACGGTTACCAACTCCAACTTCGACTACACCTACTCGGTCTATCTCCACGCCCACAAGGCTCCTTGGAATATACTCGTTATCTTGGTTCTCTCTCCATCGTTCGGCACACCCCGCCAAACTCGAGTGCAGACTAGACTTCCGGTCGCCCATCTCTTGATCACGCCACCAGCCGCGATCTTGACCTAGGAACCACCCGTCGGATACTACCAACGTAGTCCGATCTCACGTAACCCAGCGTCTAGGGTTTTTACGTTCGGCCTTAGCCGCTCATCTAAGCAACACAGCTTAGAAGTCCGCAGTGGTCGCGACAAGTCTCGCGTCATCATTTTAAGCTCTCCGCCTCATCTTCCTCTCCTCCACCACATCTAACATGATACAGAGAGCATCGTAACCCTAGCCAATCCCTTCTACCGCCGCCCTTCGCCCTATACGCACCATCTGTCATTATGGACCCACAAGACTTACACCACCACTATTCTCGTGTAATCACAGTCCCTTTGCCGACGCGCGGTCATGTCCCCGCCGCTGATGTGGATGTTCGTAGTTTTTTGATGGTTTGTTTCGAGACTCGAGAGGTTTTTCGCCGTGTCATGCGGCGTGGTTCCTGTCAGTGAGTTGTATACCTTTCCCTAGCTCCGTTGCGTGTTTCTTTCTTCAATAACTTGCTTGCTAACAAAACCTAGGTGTTCTGCAGATTTTTACCGTGCACGAACGATCATGTTGGTTGTCTGGCGACGTGCCCAGCTCCGTAGGGCTTGTAGTAGTCGTCCATGTGCAGGCTCTGTAGTACCTTGTATTTAGAAATTTAATTGTCTAATGTAATAAATTTGATGCTCGTATGATATGTGTGCACGCATGATGGTTTACTGCAGGAATGGGTATGCAGCAGGGCGAGGAAGAGGGCAGCGTCAGGGCTTATGAGTGAAAATTAGCTCTGATTAGCATCCCATTAGTTGGCGGACTTGTCTAATCACGGCTAACCCTAATCCTAGGCTGATTAGCCCTGATTAGCCAGAGTTAGGTCTCGTAAGCCGGGGGGTGATTTCCCAATGTATCCAGTACGGACCGTTTGATTGATTGCATGGCTGACTTCAAACCCTGTTCGAGTTCTTCGGAAGTTCAAGTCAAGTCTGCCCTTGATTCGGGAGTCGCGACAGTTTACACCATTAGACCTTATATGTTTTGAGTTTACTTAGAACTCGTTGGCGGAGGATCTGTCCGATCCGCCAATGAGCTTTCACAAAAATCAAGGGGAGCTGACAAATATAATGAATAACCGGGACCTGGTTAGTTAGTTAGGCCCTCGGGCCTCTTAAAAAAATTTTGGACCTCACCCAGAAAATATCGAAAAATATCCAAAATAATGCATCGGGCTTGGAGTGATGTAGGTATTATGTGCTGATGCTAATTAGATTGTTACAGGACCATTTTGTGGGTGAAATGTCAATGCCTAAGTCAAAAATAGACTGAAATATTTGAGATAATCACCGTTAGACAGTCTTACAACTCTTATAGATAGCTCAGACTGGTAAGTTGAGTGTGATTGCTATGCATCTTGGAAACACAGAAGCAGAAAGCTTGGCCTCAGAGGCTAGGGCAGGGGAAGATCGACGTCAACTTCAAGTGCAGATTGAACAATAGACTAATTATAAATCACTTATACTTCATTCCCCAAAAGAAATAAAGAGCGGAGGTTCTTCTGATTGGCTCAAAAATATTATTTAAATGATTTAAATATTAATTACAGTTAGTTAGTTCACCCCTCGCCTCCCTTACAAAAAAAGTCGACTCCCGGTGTTTCATTCAGGACCTCAGCTCCCCTTGACAAAAATTACCAAGTTTGTATTAACATATAAGCCCTATTGTCCTCCCTTATTTGTGCGAGAAGTCTTCTGTTCCTTTCCGTCACCACTAGTCGGGGTCGTTCACATTGTAACAGGCTCACGTAGGCTCACGTCACGCTCAAACTTATGTCTTCCTTCAGGTTGCTACTGACACTGCCTTGACCTAGAAGCAAGAACATTCCTCCCAATCGGACAACAACATTGTTGAAGGTAACCCAGCGGGTGAACAGGTATGCATCATCAATTTCCAATCAATTTCTCAACTGGTGTAAGCTTGCCTTACGCCTTGTGTATCACACGTGCAATAAACCAGACCAGGTGTCGGATTGCACAGTAATACGGTAGGGTAAAGTAAGCTTGTCTCTTCCTCGAGGGAGGAAGGCCCGTTATATATACATTCAGTCAAAAGGAATATGAAATAGAGCACAGCCGCTATGGCCGGCATAAGATGACTCGACGTCTACAGACGTCTCTCAAGAAGCGAGTAAGTAATATAGAAGAGATAGAGATGCCGGGTAGAAGTGCCTTAGAAGAGGACTTCTATCCCTTTCCTAATCGGGAAGATGGCGGAGCCGAACGTTCCACAAAGGGTCCGTTCGCCTTACAACTGGCCTTTCACGATGTCGTCGAGCTTGATACGCCGCACACCCCTGAGATCCTCACTATTCTTCCACTGCTCCACCAAATACTTCCCCTCCACTGGCAGAACCTTACTGTTCTTCGTCTCCACTTTGGTATGCAGCCTGTTCTGCAGCTCTGGCCCGGGCACCACTCACTCCACTAACTCCGTCACTACCTGTCCCTCATCCTTCTGTCCACTCTCACCAGACGCAGGGTCCGATAGTCCACCGTTGAGCTAATGATCCTCAGCGATGGTAGACATCACCCTGTCATTACTAACCGCCTCTCCCAGCCTGAACTTGAACTCCTCCCCGTCCTCAGCAACTTTGACGACCCTCGTACATCTTTCTCATATATTGATATCGCCCGGCAGGCCATTGACGTGCGCGATCGTGATATGCGGCCTCTTGCTCACCCTCCCATTCTGCTTTAACTCCTCCCATAGCTCCGTGTCTGGCCCTTGGCTTCCTGTCCCCTGGCATTCTTCCTGTTTATGCCAACCCCATATGCATCGTCTCCCTCATCATTGTAGGCCTCCACCTGTTCTGGTCTCACTCTCTTACTCGGGCACGCTGTGAACTCAGATGCATCTTCTGTGTCGTAGGCTGTGCTCCTCTTGATGCGTATGCGTGGGGTGGATATGACTTTCGTAGTCCTCATCTTCTGCTGCCACATCTGTCGTCGTCTTACGTTAGTGATCGTACTTGGATCATACCATTCGTTGAGCTCAGGATGTTCTACTGACCATGTATAGCTCACTATCCAGCAGCGCTATACTACGTATCAACGGCACCATCCGATACATGGACTTAGGCTTGGACGGCACAACGTGAAATGCAACCTCAAGCTGCACGACCTGCCCGTCTCTAAACCTGCCTGGCTCCATGGTGATCCACCTGTATATAGCTTTCATCAGCTCAGAGCAAATATTGGTTCGTCTGTGATGCACTCACTTTCGTGAACCGTTGGTTGTCGTGTACTGATGGTGTCTGACCATATTGTTGTGTAGATACTTGCCTCTCCCTTCTACAGCCCTGGCGAGGATCCCTAAAGGGTCGACGGTATGGAGAAGTTTCTCTGAAGTCTCGCTCTTGCATATGTGTGTGGGTGTGAAGTAGCGCGTACCGAATGTTAGGACCGTCTCCCCTTCATATGATTCGGGCTCAATTCTCTTCAATGCCCCACTCAAAAACTCGTGACTGAACATGGTATGGATATCTTCGATTGCGGCGACTATGTTGTTGAACTGGTCCTCGTCCGCCACGATGATGGACACCTCTTGGGTGGCGGATATGGCTGCATCTGGTAGCCTGTCGTAATCGTGTTCAGCAATCGTACTTATGTGCTTCAGCTCGTGTACGGAGAGGATAATGTGCTCACTGGCTTTTCGATCGGATGGGCGGCAGGTTGCTTTGAACCATGATACCTGCGACCACTAATGTTGGTTCGATTAACTCCTTCTCGTCTAGTTTGTTCACTGTGGTCTCCAGTAGAAGGGCCGAGTTGACGTTGGCCTTCTTGTCGACTTGTATGGTTCTCTATATTATGATTGGTGGTGAGTGAGATGCTTCAGATTCAAACCGGGTCATAACCACCTAACAAACCTTTCCGTACGAAACCAGATCTTGACTGTTGTCGTAGTCTTCAATTACAATTCGATTATGTCCTTCGAGTATGCTTCTGTATGGCATCATAAGGATGTCAACATTTCGGGACTCGTCTCAATGTGAGTGGGTATGTTGTGAGCCGCTCACTGTTGTCTGGATCTGTGAGAAATTGCATGTAGTCTGCGGTAGACCCCATGGCTGAACATGAGTACGGTTCCTCTTTCTTTTCTCTAGCCTTATTATTTTGCGCTATCCAGACTTTGGAAGTATCTCCTTTTTCGACAGGTCGGGAGGCTATCCCGCCGTCTCAGGTGGCCGTTAGGTGTTTGAAATCGTGTTGTCGTACATCATCCAATATTGATACTTGTCCCAGAAGACCCCACTTTGCTTTATCTCTTGTTCCTTGTCGGACACCTTTATTGCCCGCGATCAAAGGTAAGGCCTTCAGAACTGAGTGGAGGGTAGCAGAAAGCCTCCATGCTCTGCTTATCACCTTCGAAATGAAACTATCAGCATGAATACAATATAGAATATGGAAAAATAGAAGATACCTTGTCCATACTTAACAGGACCACTCTTGACAGAACGAGAATCTGATGGACCAAAGCGCCGCCAGTGACCGGGAGGAACAGGCCGCTCCTCCAAGCGAAGGTATACAGGATTGCTGGCCTTCGCAAAAGTGAGGAAGATGTCGAAGTCACTGTCTTCAAATATTGCGCCTCTGACATTTTCTTGCCCTGGGGTGCCGGTGTTGGGGTAGACCCGGACATCACAAGCCCAAGAAAGGAATGCATGTAGTTCGAGGCCACATCGTGACACAGTACAAACTGTGAAGAGAAAATCCTTCCACCCCAGAACACCCCGTTCCAGATGCCCAACAGCCGCCAGCGTCCGAGTGAGTAAACCACGGGGTAAGTCTTCGTCTTTGACATCTCGATTAAGATGGTTGCGGAGGGTGAGGACCAAAGGGAGGAGGTCACAGACTTCACGGCAGAGGCGGAAGCATGTCCTTGAGATCTCTTGGTAGAGCTCCGAGTGCAGAGTCTGCAGATTGGTGGTATGGAGAACTTTCTTTCCATTCCGAGTGACTTCACGGATGACGGATGTCCACAATTGTTTACGTCAATGATGGAAGAGTTTGAGACGGAAAATAGGATGGCGAAGAGGGATGTAGATGAGCCAAGGGGCATGTCGGTCAAACGGCTGGAGAGTGAGGGTGTATTCGTACAGCCCCCAATATCCATCTTCGTAGACAGAGACCCCGTCCGTTCGCTTGGTGTTAGCCATAGTCAGTGCATTGAACGAGACACAGTTCGAAATCTACAACGATGGGTGGTGTCAAATATGATGGAGATTGAATCCAATGCTAGTCCTTACCTCTTCAGACTCTGGCGTGTTTGTGAAATACTTCTTGTATGCTTCGTTCTCCATGAAGTAGGACCAGCCGGAGCCTAAACAGATGTCTGTCGATCCCGTTGCTCAAAGTCTGCTCTTAAGCCAGAAGTTGTAGTCGTGTGCAAGCATCAAGCGATAGAGCCACCTAAAGCGCAGTCCGACGAATCTGTTAGCATCCCCACACTACCATGGAGGGTGATGCTGCTGACCTATCCGCCTCCAGGCCTTTGAGCATGGACGGTGTAACATTGACGTTGAGGATTGGACAGGGTCGATATTGAACTGCGAGCTCGCCTGGCTGCGCTCCTTCAACTCCAGACTCCGCATGGCCGCAGGCGCCACGCTTCAACATCTTGAGGTTCCTCCATTGGTGCATCATGAGTACGAACGAGGGCAACCAGTCTTTGCAAACCAGTGAAAGAAGTTCAGCACTGCTATTTAAATAGAGCAATAGCCACACGATGTGGCTACTTACCGGCAAGGGTTCCAGTCCATAGCCATCTGTAAGGAGGGCAAGCGCATGATAGTAGTCGAACGCCGAGATCTTGCCTTGAAGTGTCATTGTGTGAAAGTTTCGGAGTACTTCAAATGTAGCACATGTTTAAGGCTCGAGGGGTGTGGCGGGGTATGGGTATAGAGAGGCTCGAAGAAGTTGAACATATCGTGGGGTGGAGAGTGGTTCAATGGAGAGGAAGAGTGATAGGATGAAATGTGTGCAAAAATCTTCTGGGCACGGTGCTGCTCAGCTGGAGAGTTCTTCCATGGAGATTCGTCGGACTTGAGTGCTAGGATATTCGTATATGGACTAATAAAATGCATATAATATGCATACAATCACCGGAAGTTGGCAAGGTTGCAGTTTCAACACAGAGAACTGCGCACCTTCGAGTACCCGCCACCTCCCGTCTTCGCTTATCCTCAATTACACTTCTTGCAGCTTTGCCAACCTTTCGTCTTCCATGACACTTGATATAATGATGTCGGTGTTGTCTGGTAGTGAGTTTTGAGAGGTGTCCTAGACAATACAGACATGAGTGTTGGATAAATTAGTCCATGTGTCGTGCTCGTCTGACCTGGATTTCTGGTCGGCTGCTCTGTAATAACCATGCTGGTGGTAGAGGGTATATTGGCAAAAGAGCGAAGCCAGCACAGATAGACTATTAGTAGCGGCGGGCAGAGACTCAGAGGTGTCGCAGAGGTAGTAGACTGGACGTCTGAGACTGACACACGGCTGATGGAGGCTGACGGGCCAAGGTGAGCTTGAGAGAGGTCCTCCGAGTGTGGCACTCGGTGTGGCCCCTACTCGCACCAGTGTTGTGCCGGTCCGGGACTGTCACTGTAGGTCGCGTTGCCGGCCGCATAGGGTCTCACACGCGACCTTGGCAACCGAGACTTTGGGTATCCTGAGGTCTCTTGCCATATTTGGCTATTTGGTTATGTAAGCAAGGCCGACAGTGGCACGGATGTTCACTGCTCCAGCCTCAACCTGGCTCCATCGCTCCGTTAGTTAAGTGTCGCCGTCTACTTTGTGTATATTCAACAAAGGATAAGTATTAGATCACTTGATGGAAGCTGAAATTGAAGTTTTGTAGTCTTGTAGTCTTGCATTTGACTTTGATTTGACTGATTTGAAAGGGCCTTCGGGCTAAACCTAACTCTTTATTTCTCGGCGTTTCTAAGGAGTGTACGCGCCTTGCAGGCAATGTGGCACCAGGTGCTACCTCGAGGGAGATAGGAAGTGTGGCAAAGTCATGTACAGAGGCGTGGGAAAATCTCGGCAATTGCCGGCCATCGATGTCCTTCATATACTGTAGCATTTCGATCAATTCGGCACGTACTGTGACGTGTGACAGGCCCTCCTCACTCGATGGTTTCGTCAACATGGCGAAGCCGCGTGACACCGGGCGGAAAATCGACGAAAAATGCCAGAAATTACCATATTGGGTCACAAACCCGCTTGATGGTTTCGACACTTGCGGACGTGACGTGTTACACCTGTGACATTTCGTCGATTTTGGAGGGCCTGTGACGCGTGACTGCCGAATTGATCGAAATGCTACAGTATTCGATTTTCCACCACATTATGGTCATGTGACCTGGATAAGGGTTGGAGGGTCTGGACTCGGCATGGAACATTCTAGATTACTTAGTAGTTTACATTACTCATCGTAGATAGCATGTGATTGGCTTACTGTACAAGTCTCGGCACAATGTGGGTCGACAGAGTTGATGTGGACAGAGTAGTATAAGAACCCCATGTACATATGTCCATAGTTTCCCTTAACTCGATCTCCTCGCTTCTCGCCATACTCAGTGTGACCTTGTGTCCTGGTGTATCCAGCCCCAAGCCCACGGTCTTCAGTTCACCCCACTATTCTCTCTGGGCTAGTGCCCCTAGGACAAGCGCTCCTAGTACTCACACATTTGCACACCGACACCCTCAGCTACTGTCACGACCGGGCGCTACGGGAGTGATGGTACCCCACGGCTCAAGACAATAAAATCGGAAAGAAGTCGGAAAAGAGGAGGAAAAGGCTGAGTATAATAGAACGCCCAGGAATAGACGATCTACAAAACTGAGGAAATACATGTGAGTTCTACGAAGTATTTATACGAGTCCGAGATCGCCCCAACAGTAAGTAGAACGAAAAGCAAGACAAATATTCAAGAGTGAATCAAAGGAGAAAGACAAATAATCGTACACTAAGTTCGTGCCCTAAAGAAAACACTAAGTAGCTCAAACAATGCGTCTGTAGCATGTAGACTAAGGAGTCCAAAGGAAGACGAAAAGATAAGACGAGTAACGACGCTAAGGAAGAGGAAAAACCAATCTAGAGAACAATGGGTACAGCTAGTTCGGACATAAACAATTTATCCTAGAACAGTCAGGCACAGATAAAATCCGGAGACACCGTAGAATGAACCTATGAATGAGTAGGAACCTCTTGATATCAAAATGTCGGTGATTGAGTGGAAACTGGTCGAGATACACGAGGGGAAACACTATCAGATGGCCCTGAATGATGTTGAGACCGAGATTGCATCGTAGTATATTCTACCGTGGTCCAATCACAGAGTTTGTTGGATCGTTGGAATGCCCGAGCTCGAGAGGTTCATCTAGAATTTTGTTCGGAGTAAAAACCCCCAGTGTAGCGTTCTGTAGCGTCGTTAGAAGGGGTGTGGAAATCCCAGCGCATCGGAGTTCGAAACGTTCCACAGGAACCGGCAGCTCGGTGCGAGCTTCCGTAGCTGCGATCGCCTGTCATGTATGGCTTGAATAAAATCGTAGAAACTCCAGATAAATTGGGGAAGCCTCCTTGGCATGTTGCGTTCCATGCGGGTACTCTGTCCTTCATGTATTGATAGGAGAAATGCCACGGGGGACATTTTACGAGGGTCGAGACTTAAGAAACGAGGAGGAAGGTCAGGAATCCGACACTCCACTCCACTCTCCACTCCATCGTCCACGCAGGCCCTCCATCGAGTCTAGACCGGAGGTTCCATCTAGGACTGGACCTAGTTTCGGCGGGATTTGGATCGGTTTCAAACATGGATGCCGGGTATGCCGGACTTCAATCTGACTCCGCCATGTTTCGGGTCTCAGATATTTGAATCCCGCCACTTGTGCACCACTTACCCGCCCTAAGTACTTGATGATCATAGTTAGATATTTGTGTCTTACACGCTCATTCCTCCAGCCCCTATTTACTGTCTATAACATACACGAACATGCTTCTCTCTATTTTGATATCTCATGTGCAACATTCCCCGGAGCTGCAGTCAATTTCATTGACCCAAGTAACTTCATTTCTCGCTGTGTGCACTCGTCTCCGAAGGCACATCGACATTCTTCAACCCGCTGAGCTTTCTCGAGAAGAATCAGCTCCGGATGTGCACACGGTGGCGATCAAACCGAGCGCTTCGAAGCCGCTATGCAAGAGCGCAATACTCGAATCGTTCATGACGGACAGCCAGAGCTTACTCACGCATGCGACAAATGTACACGGATTTATCAAAACGATGACGGTACTTGTTCTAGGGTCGAAGTCGCAGTAATCGACGGTCTTACCATGGGGCATCCTTGCTGCGCTGAACCGACTTGCTTCAATCCACTTCCTCGCAATCGCAACAAGAAGCGGTACTGTGACCATCACGATGACCGTCATTCAATCTGCGCTATCGTTGGCTGTACTGCTCCAGTGACAAAGAATTCCATGACCTGCTCCGATCTCAAGCACTCCGAGATGGAGAGGCTTCATCTGGAGCGTGGCAAGTCCATCTTTCGGCTTCGACAGCTCAGTTCACGGGCAAAGGGAATCGACACAAGCAATATGGACGAGGCGGAGGCATTGTTGGACATGGACGAGAATGAGTGGTTTGAGGTGCTGGACTCAGGTGATGTTCGGGTGTACGATGCAACAGCACCGGAGAGTTCTACGGGACAGTTGGATGAGAAGATGGCATCAGCATCGGCGAGGTGCGAAGGAAAGTCGGAGACAGGCAATAAGAAAATACGAGCCCAGTTCACAAGGCAACGTACCCACAACAAAGAAATTCTTGTCCGACTGTGTGGAGTTATTGTGGCGCGTGCAACGCTGAAAAGTGCAGAGGGTGTATCCAGTGTCATGGTCTGTCTATCTTATTCTATCTATCTTCCAATTTGACTCGTTTTGCTCGTTCCAATGGCTCACTAATCTCCTCTGTAGGACATGGTCAAGCATGTCTACACTCGACCACGTGCACGTAAGATCAATCATCTCATATATGATTCTGCTTGTATTGCGAGGACGTTGAAGAAGGTCCAGGACGATCCCTGGTGGCAGGATGTCGGGCTCACCGTTGATACCTTCCACTTCAAGTGCAAGCACAAGGAGTCGGATATCAACTGTCAACTCTACTGTAATCCCGCTGATTACCCAGAGCTTGTAGTTGGTGATGGCTGGTATTTCAACTCGTCCACATGTGAGCAAACAAATGCATGGTTCGGAGGATATAATGCTATTGTTCGGGAAATGAGGTCTACAAAGTACAACTATTTTCTTGATGAAGTGATTATCAAGCGTAACACTGTTCTGGTACATAGATTGGATGCCAGTGGAGAAGGAAGGCTGCTGTACTTTACATGATGTACCTGTACCTTCGCACAGACACATACTAGTACACACTTCTCATAATCTAGTGCACCCATGCGACCCTCTTCTCAAAAATTCGATGAAAATCAAGCCTAACTTTTGTGAAACATATGCGCAACAAATGAGGGACTGTAATATGAGACTAAGGGGTCACATTCCTGCTTGAAAAAAATCCAGGACTGGTGTGGTAGCCCGTGTGATGTATTTCTTAATGTGGTAGCCCATGCGGCAGTGCAGCTCACGCGTGAGCTGCTCGCGCCCATGCGACCTCGGTCTCAAAAATTCAATGAAAATTGAGCCTAACTTTTGTGAAACGTATGCGCAACGAAAGAGGGACTGTAATATGAGACTAAGGGGTCACATTCCTGCTTGAAAAAAATCCAGGACTGGTGTGGTAGCCCGTGTGACGTATTCCTTAATGTGGTAGCCCGCGAGCAGCTCACGCGTGAGGCATGAGCTGTGAGCTGTCATATGGAAGACAAGACAATATTCATCCGATTGGAAAGTACAAATCAGGAGACATACACAACTAGGGATACAAAAGAGTGGAATGGAATGATAGTCTAACTCAAATCAACCATTTGAACAGGCCTTGAACGCCGTCTCTCCTTCAACGCATTCCTCGCCTTCGCCACATTCATCTTGTGCCATGCAGACCATAGCCCCCTCTCCGAATACATTGCATCACGTCCAGCCTGACGTTGAACATCAGTGCACCCCTCAATCCAGAGTGTACGAATCTTATGATACTGTGAGCTGCGGAACGGGACACCAAAGACTTGTTCGAATCGGATTCCGCAAGTGCCGGTAGTCATCGTGTCCATCTCCTTAAGTCCATTGGAAACGTCAATAACGAACCAGTCACTGGGCCACACTGCGTCTGCCGCAGTCTTTCCATGAGCCGGAAGAATGGGCAATGCGAGTGGAGTCTCGAGTGAGAGTGGGGAAAGAGGAGTCGGAGAGACGGAGAGTTCAATGTCTGGCTGGTGATTGCAGGTGGCGGTGGAGGTGGAGGCAGGGTTGTTGGATCGAACATAGAGCGATAGCGATAACGATCCATGTCAAATGACGCTTCGCGGGTGAAAGGGGAGAGTGAGAGTTCAGGTGAGTCGGAGTCGGCCATAATGATCGGAAGGCTCTTCGAACATAACTCGCTGATTTCAGGCATGGGTGGCGAGCGCAGAGGGGATATGTAGGGTAGAGAGTTCTCCACGAAGTCGCTTTAGTATGTTGTCCTCTGTCTCCGAAAGATCGTCCAACTCGGTGTGGTTGCGCTTCTTGCTGGTGCGATGTGAACCGGACTTGTATGACGCAGAGACCTTCGCCCGTTCAGCTCCAACATTATCCCACAGCACCGGACTTCTCAAACGAGCGGCCTCCTGAATATCCGTGATCCAGCCGTGGAGATTATCGCATACGATGTCTGAGTTGCGGCGAATGATAAGGCATGGGGACGAGTTGACGGAGAGGACAGTGTCGAGAGAGACTTCCGTCCAGAACCGGTATCGACAGTCGTAGACCTCTGTAGCATCAGACGGAGAAATTCCCACGAGAAGAAGATAGCCTGCACGCTCTGCGAGGGAGAACTTTGGAAATGCGCGACAGTCATCGATAATGATGATCTTCGGGGGAGTGTGTGATGCGTAGAAGATGACTAGTCGGAAGGATTCGCGTTCTCGACGTTCATAGGCCTGTTTGTTGGCATGAGACTGGATCTTCAGAGGTGACAATGCTGGCTGTGAAGAAGTCGTCCAAGTCTTGTTCAACTGAGTGGAATATCTGGCCTTGGAGGATTTCGGCATAGAGAGCGGAGAGGATGGTGTCGTCGAGGTGTCAGAGGACTGAGTAGCATGGATAGGCGACTGTGGAGATAGACTCGGAGATGAGAGCGGGAGCGAGAGTGGGAGCGAGGTTGTCGAAGTAGAAGCAGATGCAGCAGTGGCAGCAGTACCATCTCCGAGTCAGTGTTATGGACTATAATTTTCGTCTTCTTTTCTGCTCGACATGTCTGATACCGCAGGAGACGCGGATGTGCAGTCTCAGTTTCCTTTTTATTTAACTACATACACATCATCCACTCATACGGCCGGTTGATGAACATTCTATGGACTTGTAGACGTGTCTCGACTCCTTTGTATTCTCGACTACGGACTACCTCGTTTCTCATAGCCTAGGACTGTGCTTCATAGCCTTGCATAGGCTTTGTACTATATTTATTGGGTACAGGATTCCGCAGCGACTACGGACTGGGGCACAGTACTAACACGACTCGGTCTGACTTACTTATTAGTTTCATAGCCTCCTGCGGCTGCGCATGTATGTACTATATAAGGACGACCCTAGTAGAGGGGAGTTCTTTAACCTATTCATCTCTGATTTACCTCGTCTATCTGCTCGTACTTGAACTAGTCCTTTCAGCAGGACTAGCTTCCCTTATCGACATCAAGAACCTTTG